AACGGTCAGATGTCCCTCTCTCTACAAGAGTGAGGACTTTACTATACACAGGTGGGTGTTATTGGCTGCTCTAGCATAATGTACATACTGTATCTCAGTTATGGCGGAGTGGTCCTTTAATACTTGAACCAACCTTATGTGGTGTACACCAAGCGCAGTGTTAGGCCAGGCTGAATACTTGTATATAACAATCCAGGAGTGAGACTGAGCTATGATAGCGCTTCGATGTGATGAAAGGATGCTCAGCACCATATTGTTGTCTCTTATGACAGAAGGGTTGAAGGCCACCTGTACAAGTCATGGCTAGGAGTCCTCAACCAATGTGAATATAACAGTCACTTATCCACAGGGGATACAGTATGAGACCTTTTCACCTTTATTCAATATGGCCGCACTCACATCCCCAGTTCTCTCACACCGTGGCTTTATTTCTTGGTCTCCAGAGGAGCCTGGAGAAGCGCAGGTGCCTGGTCCATAATGCGCACCAGAAGTCTGTCTATGTATTCTTCTAACTCCTGCACATGGTACTCCTTTCTCTCCAGCTGAGCCTCTCGCTGCAGCAACATCTGGATCAGCTCGTCATGGGTCAGGTGGTAATATTTGGCTGCCAGGTCTGGAGAGGACACATCCTAAAAAATAAATAAATGTATTCAACTACAACTTCTACACAGCTATAAAGACTAAAAAGGCCGTGTATTAGTACATGGGCATGTCAATGGATTACATCACAAGTCTCACTGGAAATATAATATGGTACGGGAGAAACCAGCGTTGTCGTCGTGTAAAAGTATGTTGATCACTTTTTTGAATGTGCTCAGAGTATTCGGTTGTCTCCTTGTTGAATTCAACGCGGAGACCGCAGACCGTATTTGAACAGCTGATCATCTAACCCATGCTAAAACCATGGCCATGAATATGGAGGTGCCCCCCCCCCCCCACCTTATAACATTCTCCACTCTTCTGGGGAGGCTTTTCACAAGAGTTTGGAGTGCGTCTGTGGTAATTTGTGAGCTCAGGTACTCATGTAGGACTAGAAGACCAGACTGGCAATTGGGGCTCTGTGCAGGCCACTCGAGTTCTCCAAATCAGACTCATCAAACCAGGTCTTTATGGAGCTGGTTGTGCGCATGGGGGCACAGCCATGCTGGAAAAGGAAAGGACCTTCACCAAACTATTGCCAAAGGGTTGAAAGTGCACAATTGTCTAAAATGTCCTAGCGTACTGTGACGTGAGCAGCACCCTTAAACAGAAACCCCTGAACGCAATCATGTGGGTTTCATGAGGGGTGTCCACATACTTTTGGTCATGAAATGTAGATAGCATAAATAGGGATGCACCGATCCTGGTTTTCGGTAACTAGTACCGATATTTTATTTCCGGTACTCATCGATACCAGATACCCATACCGGCATCCGTGGGCCCTAATTGGTCGTGAAGCTGGTGTTCCTTCGATAGAACACTGACTTCCAGACAATCAGAAAGCCAGGTGGCGGGTCATGACGTGCCACCCGGCTTCCGGATTGGTCAGGAACCCAGGCTAACCTAGCAATAAGTGAAGCCGGCTTCCTAGCCAATCAGGAAGCTGGGGGGCACATCATGGCCCACCCCCGATTGGTCAGGAAGGCAGGCCCCTAACAAGTTAAGCCAGCTTCCTAGCCAATCAGGAAGCCAGGTCATCACCCACCTCCTGGCTTTCTGATTGGCTAGGAAGCCAGACATGCCGCCCGGCTTCCTGATTGGTCAAGAAGCCAGACTGCCTAGGAGCAAGAGAAGCCGGCTTCCTAGCCAGGTAACCTGGCTTCCCAATTGGCCCGTGAAGCCGGCTCCATGCACCCTTGTGGCACTTCCGGTCATAGAGAGATCCCCCTGTGACTGGATGTTCCGGTATCTGGGGTATCGGAGCTTATGGCAAGTACGCGTACTCGCCCACGACAAAGTAGGTCATCATTCACCTGTATTTGTTAGGATATGGCACAGCTTCTTGAAGGCCCTAAGCCAATTCCCCTGATGACCTCACATGGTTCCTTAACAGCGGGGCAGTCTACTAAGCTCCCACATGGCAAAAAAACATTCTAAATGTGTGACAAACATGAACAGTATGTCACTGAAAGCGTGCATTATAGGGAGACGTGTATACTCGCATCATTTAAAACTTGACTTTTGTGTAGCCCTTAAATTAAACAATGTGTCTGTGAAGGTTCTCATTCATCCAGGTCACTGTAGAAAATAAGTCAAGGCAACTGGAATTGAGAAAGCTGGTCGGATGTCCAGTGAAACGTCTTCAAGAAAAATGCAGCAAGTCCAGTTGCCTTGAATTATTTTTTACAGATTTAAATTAAACAAGTTCAACCTTTGTGGCGGGTTTTAGTGTTTTTATTCCTAAACGGCTCCAGCCCAATGCCCCTTCATTGTAGGTGTATGAAGGATTTACTATGTACAGAATACACACAAACATGCACTGCCCACCATTGGGACGAACAGTTAAATGAACCTCCAGCTCTCTGGGGGGTTGTAGGAGATCCTCTGAGAATTTTATGCTAACTGCAGTGTAAGCAGAGTTCATTAAACTTGTCGCACTCCATCTCGTCATGTGGCTCATGTGACACCGGGGACAACTAGAGTATGTGACATCGGGGACCTCTGTCCTACATGCTTTCTGCACCCTGCCACTCTGCGGGAGGTAGATAATTAAATTTATCATCACTGCTGATACCCGGTGGGAGGATATGGAGAGACTCTGTACAGATGGCGAGTCCCAAATCCCCAAGTAGACAACAGGGTTACTAAGTGGCACGTGCATTGTTTAAGCTCTGACTGGGGCATGGGTCTGACAAGCTACTGGTATGAAATGGCACCTCGGGGTGTCTGCAGTCACCTAACGTGATGATCTTGGGAGCAGACTGGCGGGACGAGATTGGTTTGACAACAATTGTAATACAACTGTGTGTTTTGAACCCACCAACTCCATTCCAGAGTGCTGGAGGCTCCTCTCAAGGCTTTCCCTGGTCTGTTCTGTCCCCCTTTGGAAGACGTCTATTCTCTTCTCTGTCAGAGCACCAGAGCTCCGGTCAATTCTTCTTCAAGGTTCTTCCTTAGCCATCAATGACTGAAGGCCGAGGAAGGGGGGTGGGGGGGGTGAGATTGGTTTGACAATTGTAATACAACTGTGTGTTTTGAACCCACCAACTCCAATCCAGAGTGCTGGAGGCTCCTCTCCAGGCTTTCCCTGGTCTGCTCTGCCTCCCTTTGGAAGACGTCTATTCTCTTCCAGAGAGCACCAGAGCTCCGGTCAATTCTTCTTCCAGGTTCTTCCTTGGCCATCAACGACCGAAGGCCGAGGTCATTCTGCAGCTTTTTACTTAGTGTAGCTTGGTTTATGTTTACATCTCCTCCCTCACTGGGAAGTCGGATATATTAGCCGGACTCAGGGGCGTAACTAGAAATCACAGGGCCCCATAGCAAAATTTTGTATGGGGGGGGGGGGGGGATTCTGATGCGAAGGAGGGATCCTAATGTAGGAGGGGGGCTCCCAATGTAAAGGGTCCTACGGATGTTAAAGAGGGTATTCTGATGTGAAGGGTCTGTCCAAATTGAAAGGTGGCTCTCTAATGTGAAAGGGGAACCCCATTTTTGAAGTGTTTTTGTGACAGGAGATTTGGTGATGTCTCCCTCTCTACTCTGCTGCTCACTGTTCTCCTTGCTGGAGGGAAAGCTGTACCCCGGGGACCAGCACTGCAAGGATCTCACTACTTCAATCATTCTGTGGATGTGTGCTTCCTCCACCTCTTTCGGTGCCATGAGCCTCATAGCTGTATATCTGCAGTGTGAGATCATCTCAGGCACCGGCTCAGACTGCTAGTGTCAGGAGATTGGATGATATTTCTGTCTCTACAGTGCTGCTCACTGTTCTTCTTGCTGGAGAGGAAGTTTTACCTGAGGACACGCAGTGCAAGGATCTCCCCGCTTCTGCTTCATTCATTCTGTGGCTCTGTGCTTCCTCCACCTTTAATGCCGCTTCTTGAATATCCTTCCCACCAGTCATCAGATCAGCAGTCACATGAAGAGGCAGCTTTGACATAAGGAAAGCCCTGCCTCTCCCAAGATGGCTGCCTCCACACAGAGACAAAGTCAGAACAAGGCATGGTGAGTTAGTAATGGGGATAAAGATCAGTTGCAGAAGGACTACAGGCCATACCGATGACTGGACGAGGGGTGAAGGACTACAGGCCATACCGATGACTGGACGAGGGGTGAAGGGCTACAGGCCATACCAATGACTGGACGAGGGGTGAAAGCTTCCACAATGAAGGTAAACCATAAATCTAAAGAAGAACTAGACCACCCACCATCACACCCATGACCACCCACCTTGAGTCGCTCCTGCTCATGCTTCTTGCCAGACGGATGATGTCCAGTCACATGTTTCAGCACCTCCAGGCTGCTGGTCAGCGCTGCAGACAAAATCGGCTTATGGACCTTCTTATCGGGAGGCGATTCTGAGGGGGCGGCACTGATGGGCTTCACAGGGTGCGGGCTGAGGGGGAGGGGGAAAGAAGAGATTTTGTGATACATAAAAACAGTTTTGACTTATTAGCCACAAGATCATTCTCTCCGGTAGCTCGGTCTTCCACAACCAATGATCGTACATCACACAAAGCCGGAAATTCATCAAAAAGCGAGTCACATGATCAGCCACATTTATTTATTGTACCCCCACAGCCTGGATTTGTCCTCGCATTCACCAACATCCAGGTTTACCCACTGGCATCTTGCAGGGGAATTCCAGGCAGATGTAAAAGACACAAATGAATGGAGCTCTGTACTCATTACTACATCATGAAATGTTTTTTGTTTGTTTAAATACAAGCTGTTGACTTGGTATCAGCCTCTTGCACTCCCCTGTACAGCAGAGTTCAGACTAGGAGAGGGAGAAGCAGCACAAAGAGCCAATCAGTTGTGCTGCAGTGCTCATGTGCCAACAAAGGGCATGCTAATAGGCCTAGCTTTCACTGTGCATTCTCCTCCTATCAGTCAGTTGCTTCTCCTTTATCTCTCCAGTCACAGGGTGTGGGGGGGGGGTGACAAGAACTTACTGTTACTGAACTGCAGTCGAGAAAAATCTGGTTTCCTGCCCTGCCAGACTGGGCTGTGTTGTGTAGCAGAGCTGTGTAAATCACAGAACTGGACTGACAGAAATACAAATCCTTTGGCAGATATACAGCTTCCTTCTCTCTCTCGCACTAACTTTCAATATATTACAGTGTATAATAATCCAAAGCAACCAGATCTGAAATCGTCTCAGAATATTGTGATTTCAGTAAAAAAAAAAAAGAAATGGTCAATATGGGATGTTTTAAAGGGCATGTAAAAGGCGAGATGATAAAGCTATGAATAGAATGTGGAAGGGTTAGAAACTCTGTGCCTGCTGGAGACATTCACCCTCACTATTGGTCCTGGTGGCCATCGTCTCCAGAACAGGAAGTGATGGTCTTTTATCTGGCTGGAGCTGTTCAGGTGATATCCCCTCACTTTGAAGTGCTCCCTCTCTTACTTCCTGATTTGTTCCTGGGATTTGTGTATATACACACACACACATATAAATAAATATATATATATATATATATTATTACACATATACATACACGCTTACACACACTTTGATTTTCCGCTTTTGGGTGTTTTTTCCTTTATGCAGACTTGCAGAACAGGCCCATAATTCTGTTTTACAGCATGAATGGAGAAAAAAAAAATGTCAAGTCCACTTATGGTTTGCCTGACTTCTGGCTGTCTGGTAGTCTCTGGCAGGCCCAGACTGGCCATCAGGCATGCCGAGCACTTGTCTGGTGGGCCAGGTGAAGCCGAGCACAATCAGCCTGATTGTGTTGGGTCTTTGCCCATTATGCCCAAAGGCCGGCTCTAAGAGCTTGAGTGACGTGCAGACCGCCAATTGGAGGAGACGAACACGCTAGTCCCAGCTGTCCTATGAGGTGGAGGTGGGCAGAGTGTGAGAAGAAAGTTTCGCCGGTTCTCAGGCTGCTGGCTCTGTGGTGGTGGTGGTGTTGGGGGGGGTACTCATGCTCCCTGAACCAACCACTCTTTCACAATCTGAGCCCGATGAATCCTGGCATTATCATCTCGGAATATGCCCAATGTGCCATCAGAGAAGAAAATATCAATTGATGCAAAGACCTGGTCAGGTGGGCAGCTGACCTCATTTTTGGGGACATAACATTGCTGAACCTAGATCTGACCAACTGAAGCAACCCCAGATGCCCAAAATCCAGGTGATGACTTTTTTTTGGGCCAGGCAGTGTATAATATATAACCATAGTAACAATAAAAAATGAAATCTCTTGACATATGTATTAAGCTTCCTTGTTGCTTTTCCAACCTTGACATTCACCTTTACTTACTGTACAACACAAAGGTTGCTCTGTCTTATTTATTTTGCAGTTTCAGTGTGGCAGCGTATTGGTCATTGCTGTGGATGCTAAACAATCTCTCTCGGGATTAGTGTCTAAACACAGAAACCTAAAACTGATTTCCATTTCAGGTACTGCAGTGCAAATTAATACCATGGAAACCCCTCTCAGTACCCAACTGCTCCTAACATTAAATAAAGGGGTATGAAGAGGTTGCAACAATGGAACCATCCAAAACATGCATCATATGTACCAGATACCTCCACAGAACATAAGCTACAACTGGCATTTTAAATGATGTAAAGTAAACAAGCGGGGGCCCTGGGGGACACCATATAGTGAATTATCTAGTCAAGTTGTATAATCCAAGTTCCCAAATAAACACCCGATATGAACACATTTGTTTCAGGTGGGGCAACTAGTCAGAAAGAGCAAATGGTGACCCAGTGGCGAGGGAAGGATGCCAACCCTGGCAGATCCCTTCTATCCAGACAGGTTTCTTCAAGTGTATCTAAACCCTAAAATGTACCGTATTTTTCTGTCTATAAGACGCCCCCATGTATAGGACGCCCCCCACTTTTCTTACCCAAAATTCAGAAATCAATATTTTCCATGCTCTTGATTACCCTGTTTCCCTGAAAATAAGACCTACCCCGAAATTAAGACCTAGTACCATTTTTGGAAATTGCTAAAATATAAGACCTACCCCGAAAATAAGACCTAGTTGTGACCATTCCCAGGGCCGGTGGTGGCATAAGGTGGAACTTGAAGAGATTCAGCGGTGCCAACGAAGCCAGCGCTAGAGGAAGCAAGGCGGCAGCGCAGGGAGCAGAGCCGCATAAGCCGATGTTTCCTCTACAGCGCGGCTCCTGTCACAGGCGGAGTGATACCAAATGGTCTCCACCTGTGAGGAATGAAAGTGCGCTTCGCTCATTCTGGTTACCAAAATGCTTTTGGAAAGCTACAGCACCCCTGATTGCCCTGATCACCCTATTCTTAACTTTGCCATTTTGGATTATTTCATTTGGATTTGCACTAACTTTGGATTGTTGTACATTAAAAAAAAATAAAAAAAATAAGACCTACCCCGAAAATAAGACCTAGTGTGTTTTTTTGACCCCAAAAAAATATAAGACAGTGTCTTATTTTCGGGGAAAGACGGTACATCCAGTTTACATTTTGCAGAGTAAGACAGCCGCTTCCTGGTATTGGTATTTACCGGGTTTTTTTTTGGTTTCTGACATTTTATGGGCTCAGAATGCTCCGACATTACCGCTCCCAGTTGCATCTGGGCACTGGCTACACGCTCCCCGCAGCATCAGCCGACGTCGGGTACATAAGGCTCATGATTGGAGGAAACCTGTTGGTTTGTCTCTGCAATCGGAAGTTTCACTCGTGAGGCTAGTTTGCAGAGGTATCGGCAGTTTCGCAACCGCGGTTCTCCTCTCGGCCTCCCCGTGTATAAGACGCCCCTCCATTTTTCTGTAAATATTTTTATGAAAAAGTTATACACGGAAAAATATAGTAATAGATTGCAGCTCATCTGTCCTTCAATATGGTAACTGCATTAGATTGAGGTAGGTGACATTGTTTACCTACTCCACTGTCTCTATGGAGGTTGTCCCACCAGGCCAAGACTACAACTACTTAACCTCCCTGGCGGTATGATTGTGCAGTATTTTTGCATGCTAAGCGGTACATTGTTTTTCATGGCAATTTGTTTTATATTGTAGGCCTGTAATTCATAGTAAATCTTAGGAATAACTCACCTAAATCTGTCCAAACAAGAGTCCAGTAGACATCCCGGGTATGATAAAGATTGAAAAAGTTTGAAACACGAAATCATAAAAAATATAATAATTATAAATTATAGGAAATTATATAATAAATAACTTATTAAAATATATTTTTTTTAAAATGGTCCAGTAAAAATGGGAATTCTGGGGGGCGCTGCCTGATCCGTACTACAGCCAATAAAGAACAGTAAAAGTGCAGGCAGGGCACTGGACAAAGCTCTAGGGACAAAATTGAAGTGAAATAGTTTTGATACAGAAGTGTAATTATAGCAGATTGCATTGTGTTCTGTGTAAATGTCATCTTTGCACTTTTGAATTTCCCGCCGGCTCCGCCTCCCGCTGTGACGCCTGAAAACTAAACTAAAAGCCGAATTCCGGCATCGGACGGGCGCACACAGCAGAGGACACCGCGGGCTCGTAGGGACAAGGTAAGCGACACTTCTGTGTGATCCCGAGTGTGGCTCGGGGTTACCGCTCTTGGTACTGAAAATGAACCCCGAGCCAGACTCGGGAATACCGCCAGGGAGGTTAATGTCTTCATCTCCATTATACTAGGGGTGGGGGGGTCATGGCCAAATTTGACAGAAGATCGCATGGAATAAAAGATAATGTTTGATATTTCAGTTCAATTCACAGGAAGTGACAGGGACACAACATTCCTGGCAGAATCAGCCGGTATTTTCTGTGCTTGCTGAAAAGATACTTAGCTTAGGACATGAGTGCAGCCGTCACATCTAAGAACTGATGAGCTGCAATATATTACAATGTTGTTGTTGAGTTTAGATTAATGACTGACAGCTGCACGTCAAAATGGCTCAATTCACTAAGGCATCACTTTAATAAATTTGCTCGTGGTTATGCCCAAAAATGACTGAAAGACCTTCTACATTCAACATTTCTGGAAACGTCGGATGCTGGTGCCCCCTGCTGAGCTCTGGAGCTCCATCCAGAGATCCCTATAGGATAGTGACATAGGGGTCGATAGATGGAGCTACAAAGCTCAGAGGGAGACCAGGCCAAATGCTGACGATGTTCCAGCAGGATTATTGCAGAGGTCTGCGACATATCAGGCAAGTATTAAAGATGAGGAAAAAGGTTGTTTTTTTTTTTTAATACATTTAAATTACCACAAGGATATTAAATCTACTTTGTGTGCACCAAATGCCTTTGCAAACTCTTATGCACCGATCAGCCAAAACATTATGACAACCTGCCTAATATGGAGTAGGTCCCCCTTTTCCTGACCCATCGAGGCATGGACTCCACTAGACCTCTGAAGGTATGCTGTGGTATCTGGCACCAAACCATCAGTAGCA